AACGAGCTTGAGTCCTCTGGCTGTGCCATGCCCACTGCCACCCTGTCCCTGCTACCGCCTGCGTGTAGACAACCCACCGCAGACACTCAGGTGGAGACGGGCCCAGGCACACAGCGCTCACCGCTGGCTCCTAGGTGAGCGCTCGCATCTGTGCCGGGGCCAGGGGAGGACTGGCTGCAGTCCCAGCCCTGCAACCTGCACAGGGCATTCTGGGCAAGCAGCTCTCAGCCTCACTCGCCGGGGTCCTTCAGGCCTCAACAGCATAACCACTCCCCTCCCTCGGCCTTGCTCACTCCTAGCTGAGCCCTGAGCCTGAGGGCGTATCCAGGCAGTTACTGAAAGCCCCCACGAAGGCTGCATTTCCAGGGGCTGCCGGGTCAGCACCACGAGCAGACGTCGGCTCCCGGTGTGGGCACAAGTGTGCGGCCACAAAACGCTGTGTCTCAGGAAACACCTGCCTTCGGCAAAAAAGTCTGAGCAAACACCCCTAGAATGCTGCTAACTATGAAAAGCTGTAGCAGCCCGGCAGCGGTGGCTCAGTGGTTGAGCGTCGACCTATGAACTAGGAGGTCACGGTTCATTTCCCAGTCAGGGCACATGCCCAAGTTGTGGGCTCCGTCTCCAGTGTGGGGTGTGCAGGAGGCAGCCGATCACTGATTCTCATCACTGATGTTTCTATCTCTCTCCCCACCCCTTCCTCTCTGAAATCAATTAAAATATACTTAAAAAAGAAAAGCTGTAGCAGCATTTAGGGCAACTGAGAAGACAAAGCCCAGGGGGCCCAGGAGCAGCCTGAGGAAGCCAAGTGCAGGGAAGAGTAGGGGCACAAGACCCCAACTCACCTCCACCCAGCCTGGGCCCCGGCGCCCACCCACTGCACACCTGGCTCCACATCGCAGCTCCCCAGCCCAGGGGTCAGCTGGTCTAGAGAAATTTAAAGTCAACGTTCACTATTACTAGATCTTTAAATTCATGACTCTGTCGTGCTTTTTGTCAGGCCAATAACTTGAAGGCAAACCCTTTTACACTCCATGGGCACCCGTGCGCCAGCGGGAGGAGTGGGCACTCACGGATGGAATGGTCCCGTGCTCAGCACCAGCTGTGGCTCCTCCTCCTCCAGGTTCTGAAAGCGGACACTGAACCAGGCCGTAAATCCATGCAGTGCGCCGGCTTTCTTGATATCAAAGCACAGCTCGCCTTTCATTGTCTGTGATCAGCCAAACAAAAAGAAAAGGGACATGGGTTCACAGGCCCGTGACACAGGCTGCCTCAGCTCTCTCTGAGCGAGACTCGGCAACCTCTCCCTCCGCTTGGGCACATTTCACAGATCCCACCACACTGCCGGTACCACCCATCTCAGCAACTGTGAAACTAACCTGTCACTTGCTAGTTTAACTGGACATGTCAAAAAACCATACAGAATATCCTCCTAGTGAAAGTAGATACTAAAACTCGCATTCAAATGAGCAGATAATCAGAAAAAAGGTTCAAGCAATCTGGGCCTCATCTGCCTAACTTTCTGCCCCAAAATTCGTGAATACCTTCTCTTCTCAGTTCTTTGCATAGAAAGTTCAAGGCTGGGTCTCTACAATTGTAGCTGAAACTAACAAAACCTCAAAATTTCAGTTTGCATACTGATTTACCATCTAACTCCCAGTTGGGGGTTGAGGGGGATAGTTGGTTGTGTTCAAACATTGTCTCCCCCAAAGGGATGGTCCTGAACCTACATATGCCCTTATGACAGGAGAAGGTAAGTAAAAGAAAGAACTAAATTTTGTCAAAGATAGCTAAAAACACTTAGAAAAAAAATTTTGTTAAAATTCCATCATGAGCCCAGCCAGTGTGGCTCAGTGGTTGGGTATTGACCTATGAACCAGGAGATCACAGTTTGATTCCTGGTCAGGGCACATGTCCGGGTTGTGGGCTCAATCCCCAGTGTGGAGCATGTAGGAAGCAGCCATTCAATGATTCTTTCTCATCATTGATGTTTCTATCTCTCTCCTTCTCTCTCCCTTCCTCTCTGAAATCAATTTAAAAAAATATTTTTTAAAATTCCATCATGAATTGGATATAATTTATCTGAATCTGAAGATGCTAATAATATTAAACTTAAATCTTTAAAAATAACGGAAGATGTTAAAGAGGTTAACTAGAAAGAAAATAATGTAAACATATAAAAGAAAATCAGAATAGACCATAAGAAAAAAAGACTATGGGAAAATCAATAGCAAAAAGCGTATAAATCTGTTTCTTTCTATAACAAGTTTCCCACGTGTGTGCACCGATTACACAGCCTCACCTCCAGTTCAGCGATCTGCACCGTTCTCATGTCCAGCTGTAATATAGTGCACGGCTCAGACAGACAGTCTTCTGGTTTCAAAATGTGGTTATACTTGGGCTTCGAAAAAAACTCCTTAATTGCTAACGATCTGGGGAAAAGGTCAGAGTAATTACTCAAAGACATCACCAACAGCTCAGGTTCGGACACACGTGACAACAGGACATGCCTTTTCTCTTCTGTATTAGCAGGAACTCTACACCACTGTCTGTAGCCCTGAAAGCCCAACTCTGGGCCCCTCCCCACCCCCCCGACCCTCCCCACAGGCCAGGCAGCCTGAGTGCAGCAGTGGGTCCCTCCCCCTGACCATCTGCACAGACCAAGCAGCCGGAGTGCAGCAATGGGCACTTCCCTTTTGCCCTCTTCACAAGATCTGAACCCACAGAAAGCAACCTTCACCACATACCCAAGACACACAGGGTACAGTGTGGGGGGGGGTTTTTTTAGAATCTATATAATAAAAGGCTAATATGCAAATTGACCAAACAGAAGAACAAACAGTTGCTATGACATGCACTGACCACCGGGGGCAGAAGCTCAACGCAGAAGCTGCCCCCTGGTGGTCAGTGTGCTCCCACAGGGGGAGCACTGTTCAGCCAGAAGCTGGGCTCACAGCTGGGGAGCACAGCGAGCCTCTCCTGCCTCTGGGGCAGTGCTAAGGACCCCTTGGGGGATATCCAACTGCCTGCTTAGACCCATTCCCCCTGAGGGCCTAAGACAGCAGTTGGACAACTCCCAAGAGGTCCCAGACTGTGAGAGGGCGGAGGCTAGGCTGAGGAACCCCCTCCCCCAATGCACAAATGTCATGCACTGGGCCTCTAATGTTATTATAAAATACCTTTCATGGATCTTCTATTATACAGCAAATAAAAAATATATTCCTGTTCTAGGTTATTCCTTAATAAATGCAGTGAATCAGCAGGACTGAAGGCACCCTCTTGGGCCTGCCTCTCAGGAGACACCGCTGGACCTCCTGCACAGCCCTTTGCATGTCCTCCCCTAACATTCCATTTCACAGGCTGAACCCTGTGTTTGCCAGTAAGTAATCAGTTATTTACCACAGAAATGTTTCAAAAATTAAGGACAGCAGTAACTTCTGAAATAGCAAATAAAGGTAAACATTTTAATAAAGATTCCACTATATGTACATATTTTAATAGTTTTCTCTGATGATAAAAACAAGTATGCACTTACAAGGATTAAAAATATATGGCATATTAACACAAAACTCTCAAATCCACACGGAATTAGGTTTTAATGTGTGGTGTGAGAGAAGGGACAATCACATGTCCGGGATAACGGGCTGCCTGCCCTCACGCCCACCTCTCCCACAGTCTACAGCTCTGTGCCACTTCCTGTCCTATTCTGCACCTCTGTCTTCTCTGGGCGCAGAATCAAACTGCTTTAACAACCCTATCATAGACGTTAATACCTGGCAGCATAAGAACCTCCTCACTGCTCTTTTCATAACCTGCCCAGCCCTTCCTAGATGAACTACAGAACAACTCTGTCAGATCTTGCCCCTCCATTCCCTTTGGGTCAGGGTTGAGGATGCATTGATTCAGTGTTAACTAAGAAAGATTTCATTTATGAATGCGTTACTACTGTCAACCCCAGGAAGAATATACCTGCTAAGAGCTCCTTGTGGTTACTCGGGCTCAAATACAGAACCAAAGCCTAGCAGTCATTGCTTACAGGGGCCCCTCATGCATCGTGCAGGGACAAGTAGCAGCCTCCAGCACTGTAGCACCGTAGAATTAAAAAGACCTCACCAGCACCTCCTCTCTTCCCTTATCAGAGAGCTCCTGGGACCGAAACTCAACCAAAGGGCTGAAGACTGCCCCATTCAATGAGGGCTGTGCAATTCTATTCTCATTTATGTCTTTACTGGCCAATTAGAACTCATGGAGCTGACCACTCAGAACAGTGCTATTTGGACCAATCAAACTACAAATCTGGATTCCTCATTTACATAAAAATAGACCAATAAGGACGGGGGGGGGGGGGGGGGGGGGGAAGATAGATGCTGAGGGGGGGGGGGGGGGGGGGGGGCACAGGAAAAACCTCTCTCTATATAAGCCAGCCTCCCCTCTGTGTCAGTGGATCGCTATGGCTGTGTTTCCCTGGTTGGCAAACTGAGCTGCAACAGGAGCTGTGTTCCCAGACAAGCTGTTTCACTGGATCAAGTCTCTCCTGTATGGCACCCCAAGTTGGGGACTCCTGTTGGCACTGAATTGGCAGCAGTGACCATCAGTTGAGACTTATTTTTCTTCAATTTTTTAATAAAAAACAAAAGGCCCAGAGGCCCCTGTCTTGCCATCTACTCCCCATCTGCCTGTCTAACAGGCATCCAGGCTCAAATGGCCCTTGCTACAAGAATGGAAGTTTCTTGCAGCTTCTGACAAATGGCCCTCCCCTATCTCCCAGGGCTTAATTACCAGGGCACTCTCAGAAGCAGCAGCCAGCTTGTTGCCATCCTTCCCCGAGAGGCAGCATGGCAATGTGAAGGCCTTATCAGGAAATCAAACCTGAAGCTCAACTGTGCAAGTGTGTCATGTTAAAAACCAGGAAATCAAATGTTCTGATCCTTATTTAAAAGTTACAGCTCTTCGTGGGAACATATATATGTGTTTTAATGGCCCACGCATTTATAAAGGCCTCATCTGTAAACATTACATTATTTTCCCCATTATATTTGGGACCTTAGATTGCAGAAGACAGTGCAATTCCCATCACAGCTGTTATCAGTTTAACGGCATTAAAGGCAACACGCAAAATTCGTAGGCACATGAGTAAATTTAGATAGTTTCGTGGCAAGTTCTATAACAGAGTACATTATTCTGCCTAGAAATGCCTGCAGCTCACACTGCGGGAGGCCCAAGTGTGCCTGCGGGTGCCTGAGCCCCGGACACTCACTTGAGAGCGCTGAGGTTGAACTCGTAGGCGTTGTCCCAGAAGAGAACCTTGCTGCGGTAGTCTTTGTCAGCACTGCAGGGCACGAGGTGCAGTGCGGCAGTGGTCGGCCAGATGATCCCACCCTCCTTCAGCCATGCATCCCGGGCGTACAGGATGGATTCAATCATGAACTCAAACTGCATGGGAGGGAGAGACACATCAGGATGGACTCAATCATGAACTCAAACTGCATGGGAGGGAGAGACACATGGGAGACATGGTGACGGAGGCCAGTGCCTGCACATTCGGACGGTCTGGGATCTTTACCAGTTTAACCCTCAAGAGTATTACCAGCCAACGGGTCTCGGAGGATTTCTTACACCCACACATCTATGTTCACCCCTATTGCAGCTTGGGTTGAGGTCACATCATTTTGAGTTCGAATTCAGAACTGGGCGTGGCTAACGGTCAGACTAAACCTTCGCTCTCGTCCCACCTCGGCCGGTCACTTAGTAGTTACCACGACATGCTTACTCCATCTCACCTGGACCTGAAGCTTGGTCATTACCGCATGTGATTTTACAAACAAAACTGGAATCATATAGCAATTATCTTTTAGTGCTTTTTTTAAAACCAACAAACTATCACTAACTTTTCTCTCTAAGTTTATCAAGAATCTTCCGAAAGCCTAATTTTTAATGGCCACAGAATATTCTCTTATATAGCAGACTGCCACAGTTACTAATATTTGTACTTTTCCCAATTTTCTTCCATTTTAAGTGGTGTCATATACATTTTTTAGCATAAGTTTGTGTAAAAATCTTAGAATAATACCACTTAAATATTTTCAATGCCTTGTTTTCCTTCAAAAAGCTGTATCAATCTATACTGCCAATAAGAGTCTGACAGTTTCCCCAAAATCTCAATGACACTGGCTATCATCAGCTATTAGGTGATTTCTCAGCCAATTTGATATCTCAAAAATATTTAAGTTACCTCTTTGATTACTAGTGACATTAAACAACATTCATATGTCTGATCTTGTGCTTTTTCATGCCCCCTGGTCACCTGGCTGGAGTTATTTATCTTTTTGTTTTTTTAAATATATTTTATTGATTTTTTACAGAGAGGAAGGGAGAGGGATAGAGAGTTAGAAGCATCAATGAGAGAGAAACATCGATCAGCAGCCTCCTGCACACCCCCTCCTGGGGATATGCCCGCAACCAAGGCACATGCCCTTGATCAGAATCAAACCTGGGACCCTTCAGTCCGCAGGCCGACGCTCTATCCACTGAGCCAAACCAGTTAGGGCTAGATGTTGGC